TGGTGCCGTCACCGTTGATGATCAGAGCCTTCTGGGCGGGCACAAAGGTCGGTGCATTCGTGGATGATGCGTTGTTTCGAAGTGCCCAGGGTCTATACGCGGTCAAACATCGCGGGCAAGAGTACCGACCGTGTTGCGAGGAAATCGAGTAGTCCCACGAGATCTGTCGGAGCCAATGGTGATTGTGTATCACCGAGGTGCAATCCTTCGAGCGACAGACGAAGTGTTGGTCGATGCTGTCGGAGACACGAAACAACCAATCGGTGAGTGGGGCCTCGGCGGTAACCATGTTCCAGAACTCATCGGCGTTCCAGTTCGGGTCGATGGATCGAGCGACGGTCGTGACCTCCCACTGGGCAAAGGCTTGGAACACTCGCTGCTTCTGGTCGGAGTCGAGCTTGGCGAGGTCCGCGACGAAAATGTCGGTGAGTCGTAGTATTCGACTTCGTACCTCGCGTCGAATGTTCGACTTGCTGTCGCCAGGCCTTTCGCGCTCGATGTCCTCGCACATTTGCTTCCACGAAGCGGCTCGCTTCCTCGAGGTTTCGAGGTTGATCTGCTTGCGCACGGAGTTGACCTTCTGGCAAATCGTGTACCAGTCGGGGATGCTGATCGTGTCGTAGCGGGTCGAGTTCTTGCGGACGAATGTCGGCTTCCGGACCCAACGACACTTCGCGGTGTCCCAGTAGTTGTCGAAGAAGACCTTGCAGTAGAATCCATGAGTTCGCTCGATCGCGATGTGCCACCCAGGCGGCTTGACTTCGTGGTTGTCGTCGCGATCGTAGAGCTGTCGACGGTCCTTGTGGTTGTAGGGAAGGTCTCGAAGGTTGCCTCGTACGCCTATCTTGGCCGGTGACAGGTCGGAGTTCTCAGCGTACCACACGAAGTCCTCGTTGGCTCCGGTTGCGCACTGGTAGCAACACCTGTAATGGATGTTGCGCCAGTCGTCCTGGCCGTCGGGGTTAACCGAGAGGAGATAGTAAGGCGGAAACAGCAGACCACAAAAGGTGCAATCGATGGATCCATCGTGGATTTTGTCGTTGGCCGGAGTGCTGAAGTACTTGAGGTACATCTCGACTCGGTCGACATCGCGTTTGTGGTGATCTTCGATCGATGTCCCATCGCGACCAATGAGCTCGATGGGCATGCCGTTCTCGTCGACCTCCTCGCCGGTAAGTTGTCGGCGCCAAATCGCCGCCAGCTCGGAGTCTGTCGAGTTCGGGAACTGCTTTCGTAGTGATGACATCGCGAGCTGTTCGGAGGCTCGTCGGAAAGCGATGACCTCCAAGGCTCCCTGGGTGTGATGGTCATCGTAGAGTCTTCGTTGTAATTTCAGTGCTCGGCCCTCGTCAGTATCCGGGTGGACTCCCTCGAGGTATCGAGCGGCCGGCAAAACTGCTCCGGAGCTACTGCCGGGCGTTTGGGAAAACTGCTCGATGGGATCGAGCTGAGTCGCCGATGTCTCGGGGAACTGTTCAATCGGATCCGACTCCATCGGGGACTGGCGAGAGTGTGCCATCACTTCGGGTGGATCGGGAGGTTCGGGTAACACGAGTAGAGCTTGAGAGGTCGAAGTCTACGGAAGCCAAGCAATCTCCAAGGAGAGAGCAGGCCCCACTACAACTAGTAGAGCCTGATGCAACCGAGTGACATGTCCTACAAGCAAGCACATTTGGTCTTGTCGTCGTATGTAACGAGTCATTCGGGAGGTCGAGACCTAGGGGTCAGGTGGACGCATCGCCGAGGCGGAAGTCCCCTTCTACCGAAACGGTCACTGACCCGGAAACACCCGTACATCGCCGAGGCGGAAACGGGGAGACCGTGAGACCTGAAGGTCGGGTAGGCCTCGTGTAAAGGCTCACGCATTCTCGCGGAATCGCAGGATGAAAGCCGGCGGCTCTGCGGCTATCATCGATCGCATTCGCTCGTGTTGGGCGAAGGCACTTCGCATCGCCGGTGAGAGCATATTCGAAGTGCATGAAAGGATCGCCGAGGCCTGCTCCCGAAAGAAGGTCTGCATGGGCTCGAAGTATGGCATCTGCGCCGCGAAGGTGTTGAGATTCCTCGCCGTGTGGCACCAAATTCGGAGTCGGTTCATCCGAGCTTCCACCGAAGTATGGTCCAGGTCGCAGAGAGAGGCGGTGATGCTGTGCCATACCATCGAGTAGATCAAGGTAGTCCGGGGTTCCACGAAGTTATTCGGGACACCCAGGAGCAACACCCGTTCCTGCAGTACATCGTCTTGCGGGGTGTGGATCGGGAGGTCGATGTAAAGGCCGTATTGGGTGAGGTAGCTCCCGAAAGTAGGGCATCGGAGTACCTGTTCGATGTAAATGATGCCATCGTACGTGATCTCCCATGGGGTGTCGAAGGAGAAGGAGGAGTAGGGGTGATTGCCAGGTGGCAACATCGCGACATTGTGGCCACCCACCGGCGTCATCGCTTGCAAATTCGCCGACAGCATCGGGAAGTTGTCGAAGTGGCGTAGTGTTTGAAAGCCAAACACTGGCTCGTGTGATGTCGGTGCGTTGGATCGGACATCATCGATCGAAGTGCGCCCCTTCTCCACCACCTGCGAGTCGCGCCACTGCACTCGGAATCTCTCGAGGCATGACTGTCGTGGTGGTTGTGGCTGAACCGCAACCGGCACACTCGTGTAAGGATTCCCCAAGGAGGTCGCGATAGTCGAGGAAGAGGCCGCCCCCGACTCGTTGGTAGCTGGCTGGAAGACTTGCCTCGGGTCATTTCGTGTCAAGTCCACAGCAGGGTGGACGGAGAATCTCGGAGGCACGACTCTTCCAAGCCCAGCGGAGCTGTCGGCGTCGGGGTGTGGTCGTTTGGGCATGGCCTTGGTCTTGGCGCTCACGAGAGTCGTAGTAGCGGCAGCCCCAAATGATGGGTTGATCCACTCGGATTCGCTCACGGAATTGGCCACCGGCCCAGAACTCCTTGGTTCCATCGATGTCGCAGAGTTGGCTGTAGTAACCGCGATCGGAGGAGTCGGTGGTGGTGTCGCGGAATCATCGTCCTCGTGCCAAGGATCTGGCGACATCGGCCTCGTCTGAGGTGTCGTGGTAGTCGGTGGGGCCGCCGGAGTCGTAGCCGGTGTCGAAGCGGCGATCTCATCCGGGATTTCGACGATCACCGGGGTCTTAGAGTCGAGCCATCTCTTCGCCGGCGACGGGGATCTCTTCGGGAATCTCGCCGGAGAAAGTGGTCGTTGTGATCCCCTGGCTGCTCCATCGCCGTGGCGGAAAGCAGTTCGGGGTTCACGGCCGAAGCTGGGTGCATCGGAGTCCGTATCCGTGCTGACCTGGAAGAAAGTTCTCCTTGGTGTCGGCGGAGTCGGCGTAGTCGAAGGTGCCGCAGATGGGAAAGCCGCCGGAGGTGCTGTCGATGGCGCTGCTGTAGAGGGGGCTGACGAGGGAGCCGCTGAAGGAGGCCATCGGGGTCTCGAAGTCGGGAAAATCGCTCCCCGTGTCGGAGTGGGATGTTGTCCCCAGGTCGCCGGAGGTCTCGAGTCCTCGCGAACTCTGCGGGGAGAGCGTCCTCGACGATGCAGGCCATCCGCGATTTCTTGTCGTAGTTGTTGGGCAACCTCAGACTTATCCCAGGATTCGTAGTCGTAGTACCGAAGGAAATTTGTGCCGAAGTTGAACTTGCGCATCTCGGCGGACCGGAAAGTGGTCATCGAGTCCATGATCCACTCACGAGCCTGTGCTCGGTTGACCTGCTCGATGATTCCGTTCTTCGACGAGTAATGGTAAGGCGGTTCACCTCGACGATTCTGTCGCTGTACGACGAAAGCCTGTCGCATAGCTTCGTCGAAAGTATGACCATGTTGATTCCAGCACGTATTGTGGTACTCGCAGCATCCCTGGAACCATTTGTGGCATATGAGGTTGGGCACTACCCACTGTTTGTTCAGGAAATCGGGGTGAAGAAAACCACAATTGGCCATATTACAGTTCTTCTTCTCGAGAAGGCGGGGACAAAGCTGTCGTCGTATCTCGGAGATGGGTACTTGGGCCGTGTCGCTGACTACTTCGGGGTACTCATTAAGCATCGACTCAGGAACAGGGGCCGTCATCTTCACCAACGTGCCCTCGCAGAGGAAATCGAACCATGAGTCGGCTCGGGTACGTGCCATGGCTACGAATTGGCTAATCCAAATCGATGGTAATCGAGGTAGTGGGCTTGAGATGCCCTTCGAAGTTCCGCTTTCGAGCTTTAGAGGCAGCGGGTTCGGGAGTATGTAATTCCATGCCAAAATCATCACGAAAAATGTCTGCCAAATGCTGATTATGCAGGTCGGTCTCATGCACAAGAAGAGCAGCATCGGTGTCAGCTGGTAGGGGTGCATGATCGGATTCGGGGTGTAGGGAAGCCTCGACGATCTCGAACGGCACCGTCAGCGGCTCCGCGGACTCGTCGCGGTTGGTGATGTGCAGGTACAGGAAGGCCTCGAGGTTGGGCGGTTTCAGCAAAGTCGCCGCGAGATTGACAATGTCGTTCGCCGTCTGACACTGGGCGATGTGATCGAGTGCCTTCCGTATTTGTCGGGATTGTCGCTTGTTCCAAGCTCCCCACGTCACATCCTCGGGTTTCTCGACTTGAAAATCTTCGAGAACCTGCTCGCGGCTGAATTCCTCGAGCGATTCCTTCAGACTGTCAACAACTGACAGAGAAGCCGTAGTGCTCGAGGTACTGGCCGCCAGCAGCGGTCGTAGTAGTGCTCGGGGTACTGGCCGCCCGGGCGGCTATGACCGAGGAGTGATCCGAGGGGACTGAAACAAAATTTCGCTCAAGCTGTAACAGCTTGAGCCAAAATGGCCACGGAGTATACAATCATTCGACATGAATCGGTGAGTCAATCCCCTGACCGATTCGGTGTTTAAGTGAGATATGAAGTTGTCACTTCGCACAAACAAGTGTGTGCTACACTACAAACGTTCAAAACCTCAACCGCTAAACTCCTAAACTCACATGGGTCAACCGGCCTTCGTTTCTTTGCGCCGCCAGAGCCAAAACGTAGCCCCCGTATTGCCTCGGAGAGCTACGTCCGCCAGTATGGTTGAACTCCACTATGTAGTTTGGGTTTGGGTTTTGCTTGTTGAATACCTGCTTAGGTCCGCCAGGCATCGAAATCAGTTTCCTGCAGGGTTCAGGCGAGCACTAGTTCAAGAACATCATTTCCACGACACCACCATTAGCCATTACGGCACAGATCAGTAGATCTTCATCACAGATTCTTTCAGAAGGGGCAGGTCCAGCATCATCCCCATGTTCATCTTCCTGGTTAGACGTCTTAAGTTTCAGGGCTTAAGCTGCGAAACATTGATGTACCATGTTGGACTTCATGACAGTGTCGGATGCATGCCAGAATAGACCGAAGCCTCCATTGTGGCAACCCTTGATCAATTGCAGCGCCTATCCGGAGATCCGAACCCATGCACCCGGCTTGTCTGTCAAGAATCTCTGCAGGCCTGCTATCTAAAATTTCTGCAACTCAATTCCTAAAAAAGAACCCTTGAGCGGTAAGATGGACCTTAAACCCTAAGCCACAAACCCTTCAGGCTGAGCCCTGCACTCTGCGGCGAAGCCAATGCCCAGCGGAATGGCCAGGAACCTCACCAAGGGTCCGGCGAAACGCCTTGGATACCACAGTATTCACATAACTGCATGTAGCATGATGTAGCACTTCACTGTACAGAATGTAACAGCACGCAGTGTAGCTGCATAATCGCATTCATGCAGGCACAAAGACCTGCAAGACCTTGCATTGAAAGTTGAAAGCTCAATGCTCAGCATGCATCAGCCGGGAGACCATGCAGCAAAGATCAGCCTGCAGAAGCTTGCGCTGAGCAGAATCGTCGCAGGGGCCCAGAAATCCGGGATTTGAGTGCGTCGTGAGTTCAGGGTTTGAAGCGTTGCGGGTTTAGGGTAACTATACTGATATACTATATACCATAAACTCTATCCTATATCCTATATACTATATACTCTATATTATATACTATATACTATATCCTATATATACTATATACTATATATTATATAGAACGGGTGCCTTCTGCAGTTGTGCTGCAGAGACCCTGCCCTCGAAGGGCATGGGCACGGCATTGCGGTGGCACTGGGGCCGAGCCATGGCTGCTCAAAAACGCTGGGTTTAGGGTTTAGGAGTTTGGGGTTTAGGAGTTTGGGGTTTAAGGTTTAGGGTTTAGGAGTTTGGGGTTTAGGAGTTTCGGGTTTAAAAGTTTAGGGTTTAGGGTAATTCGGAGTCTTCTTTGATCACGAAGACAAGCATCCAAGATGTAGTCACAAAGCGGCCAAAGTATCAGAGGGCGATGATTCAGTCAGGTCTGAGTTGAAGGCTGGAGCCAAACTCGCAGAGAGGCTTCATCTGAGTCATCTTGCCGCTGCAAACCTCCGTGTCTAAACCCTAACCCTAAACCCTTAAACCCTAAACCCTTAAACCCTTAAACCCTAAACCCTAAACCCTAGACCCTAGACCCTAAACCCTAAACCCTAGACCCTGCCCTCCGGGCCTTCTCTTTGAGCAACAAGTTCTGTGGCCTCAGTCGGCAACGGAAATCCGACATCTCCCGAAATCATGGCTTAACATTGACGACGTGGCACAAGAACTGCCCGCATGGAAGTTTGCTTGCAAAAGTCCTGAGGCTGCGACTGCACGTTCGACACCGCCACATTTTCCTCACAGACTCCGCTCCGAAAGGCTCTTCTTGGGCCCGCTACACTCTTGAAGTGATTTACTTTGGCAACTTGCGGTTGCATCGTAACTGACTAATTAGCAGGAACTGAGTACCCAAGCCTACCCTCGTTCAACCGGCCGAGCCACAGTTATTCCACCTTGATTTGCTGCGGGCTTTATGGGGTTTAGGGTTTAGGGATCATAGTGGGCAGTGATCTGCTGTATGCAATCAGGGTATGTTACGGCATGCTGTATCCAGGGCGCTCAACTCAAATTGAGCCTGAGATCGACGAGGTGTTGAAGTGATGCTTCTTCGGATGTGATATTAGAGCTTGTCCTTATCCTCATTGCATGTTAGACTGGGCTGTGCTGCGCTGGCCCTGGCCTGATATGTCATCTTCTAGCATGGCGCATGATGACATGTCAGTCTACAGCAGGCTACCCGTCTTTGATCGCGGAAGATCATCTTGCAGAACCTGATATGATGCCGCGTGGGGGTTCGACACTGTCTGTTAAGCTGCTTGCTTATGCTAGTTCTGCAATGTATTCTTGTTGTAGTATTGACAAGCTTGTTCTGAGGATTGCTACTGTTCTGAGTGATTGAAGTGCATTGTGATGCTTCTGTGCCTTTGCGGTTTTATGCCTTACTGTGTCGTACCATGTTGCCCCATACTCCATGATTGCTACTTAGCTGTGTCATATCCGTGCACTATCTGTGCGTGCATTGTACTCACCACAGGGTACTGTACTCGGTTGAGGCTTTGGTTTCATCACATGCCGTATGCATTGAACTGACTTTGGACTTATTAATGTGCCCATATATGTGACGATTTGCACATTAACGAATGCTTCATCTCAGTGAGGGTTTGGACACCAACACCTGCTATGGCATGCTGCAGTGTCCTAAATTTGTGTTCTGGTACATTCTAGCTGATACCGTGCGAAATGGCGCTCTATCTTACTTCACAGTCTACTCGGCGATGACCCACTGCGTTGCCTCCTGATCTTGCTGTTAAGCTGCGCTGTTGGTTGCAGCACTGTAAACCCGCTCCAGCTGCTGAAATCTGTTGGCAGGACGTTGTTGCTGTTGTTGTACATTCTGTCTTCCCCAAACCCTAGAACCCTAAACCCTAAGCCCAAACCCTAGAAAGCCCTCGGTCTGAAATCGATAGCATACCGTGGGTCCTTCTGGCTCGCTGCATCTCTGCGGCAAGCTGCGCGAATCTCGTGCTGCTCCAGCGGCCTTGTCATTGGTTGGTGATCACAGTTCCCGGTGTCTGCTAGGAGGCTTCGACCATTGAGACATGCGGGTCTCGCATGCCAGGAATTCAGTCAGACAAGCAGGATAGTGGAGACCTAGGCCATGAAGCCTAAGCCCCTTAAAACCCTGAACACTAGAGTCCAACATGGAACAATCCTAGTCCGTCCTGCACGCTATTGAGGGTTTGAACTCACGGCTGTTCTCCCATGCTGGCCACGCCGAAGTTGAGGCTGTATCACTACTCTGCACCGCAAGGGTGGAAATCTCAAATTCAAACCCTGGACCCTAAACCCTAAACCTCTAAACCCTAAACCCTTAAACCCTAAGCCCTTAAGCCCTAAACCCCTGAACCCTAAACCCCTAGACCCCTAAACCCCCAGACCCCTGAAAAGCCTACCCGAGCGATGGCGATGGCAGCCCCTCGGCCTGGTATGTCTTTGGCCGTACTGCGGCTGGCCCATTCGGATCTCCCCCACAAGCCTGCAAAAGGACAGAGCCCAGAACGAAGAACTTCATACTATCTACTCTAGACTATATACTATCTACTATACACCATATATAGTATATATAGTATATATAGTATATATAGTATATATAGTATATATAGTATATATAGTATATATATATATACTACATACTATTAATTAGACCATATAGGAGAAGAAAATGCCGAGCAACGCAACGTGCCTCCGCACGGAACCTGCACGAGGAGCCGACACGAAGGTGGTTGCCTTCAGAGAAGAGCTGAGCCAGGCGCAATTACAGGCAGTATAATATAGTATATAGTATATTACAGTATATAGTATAATACAGTACATAGTATAAGATAGTATATAGTAGAACATAGAAAATAGTATACACTATACATTTTATACGAAGGGGAGGCAGAGGTCATGCCGCCTTCTTCGGCTCCTCGAGGGGTGTTGTGGCCGCCTCGGAAGAACATGAGGGTGGTTGTCAAAATTATGGTCCCTTTTTGGGTCCTTAATATATAATACGGCACCTGATATTTGGGGTACCCAATTAGGGAGCATAATTTTGACAACCCCCATGAGGACCCAAGCAGAAACGTGTGCAGAGCCAGGTCCACGGCATTGGCGGCCGCGACTGCAAGCGCCTCGATGTGGCGGCGCCTGAGCATGCGACCGATACCTTCTGCCAACCAACCCTAAATCCTCAACCCTGCCAGCGAACTGCGCACACACGGCTTGCTGCACTTGGTGTGGGACCGGTCCTCGCCTCAGTCATCACAAGCCGTCGAAGGCTAGAACCTCTCACTTTCTGCAGCGGCTCCGAGGTCTCTACGCGCAGCCGCCAGAGCTTTCCTGGCCTGCCTGAGCACACTTGGGGGAATGAAAAGCTTGCCCTCCGACATGGAACAGCTGTAGGCTTCAGGTTGGCATCTCTGCTATCACAGAAGGCTCTGACCCCCGAACCACCAAAACCGAACTGAAAGTCGAAATCTCAAACCCTCAACCCCTCATTCCCAAATCATGCAACCTCCAAGCCAAAAACCCGAAAAGCCCCCTAAACACCCGAGGCCTTGCCCTCCAGTTGCATTGCAGCTGCAAGGCCGCATCCTGCTGGCCATGATGTTTTCAAGTCAGTCGGGTTTTGGGACCAGGGTGTAGGGTTTAGGGTTTAGGGTGCCGGGTTTAGGATGTAGGGTTTAGGATGTAGGGTTTAGGGTTTAGGGTGTAGGGTTCAGGGTGTGGGGTTTAGGGTTTAGGGACATCGTATAGCACGCTACGATTCGGGGTTTCAGGACTGTTGCAGCATAGCAACACAGCATGGTACGGTACCATAGTATTATCTTAAGCAAGTCTTTCAGGGTCTAGCAGCTTGGACGCAAATCCTTTACGGCATTGTTTTTGCATGTAATATAGACGTACTTCTGAAATACAGATGAATTTGAATGGCATGGTGGCATAGTCAGGCATAGTCATACAAAGCTTACAACAACAAACCGAATCTCAGATGGTCGGATCGAACCGAGAAGGCATTGGTTCATGGCGAGACATTTGACTCCATATAAACATAAACCGACATCAGCATGGTGTCTGAGTCTAGGCCAATATAGCCAGATGAAATCGAAAAGTAACAAACTACCAGATACAGTGAACCTTTTGAGGTTGTGCGAACCCCAAAAAGTGTAAAGGTCGCTGAAGCCTCAAACCAATGCGAGCGAGAGAATCCCAGCCTTGCTTTTTGTGCCTTACACCTGAGCTACCTTGAGAACCCACCGACGACAGGTGCGGATGCACGCTTCCCAGATCTCGGACGCATGCCCTCAACCCTGCCCCCCAAACCCTACACAGTAGAGGCCCTGAACCCGACACCCGAACCCGTGATACCTTCCAGAATCCACTCCCCGCCTCCTTGACGGCAGCTCGAGCACGTGCCGCCACCTCTCCAGCATTCAAAATTCGAACTCCAAAACCTTAAACCCTGGTGCCCTGTTCCGAAGGCCCTCCGAGATTTGCAAGGGACTGAACTACTAATACTATCTAATACTATTAATTTCTAATACTAATACTAATACTAATACTGATACTAGTATAAGTGCTACTACTATTACTCATACTATTTCTCATACTGCTACAAATATTTTTTGCTCATACTATTAAAACGCTGAAAACAGGTGAAGCCTTTGCAGCAGCCGCTCGTTCCGCTGCCTCCCGCTCGGCCTGCGGCAAGATGGGCGCTGGACGCGGCACACTCAGAGAGCCCCATGCCCCATAAGGAATACTTAGGGTTCCTTCAAGGGATCAAGAAAGGATCTATAGGGTTTAGAGTTTAGGAGATTCTAATACCCCTCAATTAAGGACTAGACCTGAAATCATGATATTGAGGCCCCGGATATTTATGGTATGTTCCTGAATTAAGGACTAGACCTGAGAGCATAATATTGTATAAGGCCCCCAATATATACATGGACTATTCCTAAACTGAGGAGTATTGGGCGTTTTGGGCATGCAGTCCATCGACGCAGCAGACAAGATGATCATCTACAGGTCCACATGGGTCTGACTCTGAATGTTGGTACGATTGCCTGCCGTCTGTATGTGCAAAAAACACACAAACAAAGAAACAAGCCAACATACATACTTAGCTACTTTTCATACTTACATACTTACATACATACGTACGTACATATATACACACACACACACATGTATGTACACTCAAGTGCCAAGCAGGAGCGCCACCCATGCAAGGGTGCGAACCTGATGTCGCGCTCGCTCAGCTGCAAGCCGAGAAGCCTCGGGTTTAGGGTTCAGGGTTTTTCACCCTGCAAGGAAACTGCTTCTAGGCGCCCGAGAAACTTTCCCCGAAAGGCCAACTAGCGAACCCACTTCATCATTGTGTGCTGCCTTGCATGCTCATGCTGCTCTGCTGCTGCTGCGACGGTTGCTGCTGCCTTTCCTCGTCTGTACTACCCCTCCACCACAAAAGCACTGAAGACTGTGAGCGTGTCATGACTGCTGTTGTCAGTATCACAGTCTCCAAGGCTAAAACCTGCAAGGGAGGCAGCCGGGGTTCTCACGAGCCGTCGTCCGGCGCAACCTCTGGCAAAAGCCTGGAAGCAAGGCTCGGTGTTGGGTTTACGGGTTTGGAAGTTCTTGTGTTCAGCGGTTGAGGGCCTTGGGGGTTTAGGGTTTAGTCGAAAGGGCTGTACAGCACACAGTGTCCAAGCGAAACATCACAAAACGCATAATGCCTTTCAAAACATGGCTCAGGATGTGGTGCGCACTTGTAATACAAATACGTTTAAGTAAACATGATATAAAAGTGGGGACATTGCCACGCACGACGGTACAAGGCACGATGAAGCAGCAAATGTTAAGATTCACAACATGCCGAAAGCTACCCACATGGTCATTCAGTAACCTGAAGCAAACTTCCGGACCTACGGTCTGGACAAGATGGCACGGTATAGCATGCCAAGACATGACACGGCATTATATACCCCGTCATTTGATGGTAAGACAAGACAGAGCAGTGGATTGCCCACCGAGCTAAAACATCTTGATTGCAGCAGTGCATCAAGTGCATAATCGATGCCGCACCCCTACACCCAAAAACACAACCCCACGCCTGCGGCCTAAACCCAGAGCCCTAAACCCTAAAACCCTATAAACCCAGAGCCCTAAACCCTAAACCCTAAAACCCTATAAACCCAGAGCCCTAAACCCTAAACCCAAAGCCCTAAGCCCCTAACCCCGCCTGCACTTTCTTCGCGCTGCGGCGCAGCCGTTGATAGGCGCACCTCAGGAAGCCGCCCCAACTTCAGCTGATGCTAAAAATTTCAGGGTTCCGTTAAAGGGACCGGGTACTTTTAAGGGGTTCCTTTAAGGGACGTACAGGGTTTTAGGGCTTAGGCTTTAGGCTGATGATATAAGTCCTGCATGACCTTAATGACCCTAGACTATGGGAATTATGGCGTATTTCTCGTAATGGGTAATGCAGGATTGGTATCATCAACCGTTTCAGCCACAACCGAGAAAGCTAGGGTCTGGAGGTTTAGGGTCCTAGGGTGTAGGGTTTAGGGTGTCTGGAGAATTTTTGGTGGTTTTAGGATTGACACAAAGGTTTCGCGTGTAGGATTTGGGATGTAGGGTTTACGTGTTCAGCGGAATGTGCAACCCAGCCAGTGGTTCAACATAATTGAATGGCGTCTCCGAAAACACCCCCTCTCTTATTTAAGGTATTTGATCAAGGTAGGACCTACCAGGTTCCCATGTTTCACTGCCGATCTATCCTCAGGGCCCCACCGAGCGCGGTGGCTTCTGAGCGCGGCGATGATGACGATGGACGCACGGAGGCATCTGGCAGATGACGGAAGCCACGTTCAAGCAGCATCGGGCAGCTGGGGGAGGGGTCTTCTCATAATGCTGAGACGCAACTACTCCCCCGGAGAGTTCTACTCACGTAGCAGGCATCATGTGGCCGTACAGGACACGCATGGGAAACTCTTGCCAGGGACCTTCATTCTAAGCTATCCTTTCCGAGTCTTCAGTATGAGCTCTGACTCAGACGGCTTTTGAAACTATATGCCTCCCTACTCTCTCCGACACGCAGGCGGATGCCTCAGCTCCACTCTGCCGTCTTGACATGTGCTTAGCCGACACCTTGAACTTAGGACTTTGGCTATGCTTTCGAAGAGGCATCTCCACCGTTGTCCAGAATTTGCACAGTGCTGCCACAATGCTTTTATTAACCAAACATAATTGCGTGTGCACGATACCAGAATAAGTAGAGGAACAAAAGGCCAGCAACATGACACAGCATCCTCGTTCAAATCAATGTGCCTGCCGCAGAGCATACTGTACTACCGCACCCAACGCTAATTTACGGCCTTCAGGTGACTCGAGGCGACTCGCCCTAGATTGCAAACTTCTTCCTTAGAGGTACTGCGTACTGCAACACAAGCAGTGGTGATGCCGGTGGTAGTGGCGAGGGTAGGGCAATGCGAATTCTCAGATAGCAACGGCAAGTGCAGTGAGAAACATGGATGCAACATGTGGAAACTGTGCGGTGTGTGAATTGGCAAACATGCGATCCGTCAACGACTTCGCCTCGCTGTGGCTTTCAGCAGTCGCGCCTTCTGCTCTCAAACCATGCCAGCGCAGGTTCACGCATAAAAACCTGCTCGGAATGAGCAGATTCGGCACATGTTGCACGGCCACACCCCTCCGTCTTTTCATAGGTCCACTCCACAACCCCGTAACCACCCATAGGAAGCTGGCAAACCATTACAGCACCGTATGGCCCGGCACCACATTGAAATGAGAAAGGAATCAACACCTCAGCTGCAGGCAGCATGCCCTAAGCCCTAAGCTCCTCCCCAAAGCACCCCGTTGATTTGATCCACAACTGCCGAACGCAGGTTCGATCGGATCGGGGCTTGCCCAGAGACTCCAATACCCCCTTAAGTAAGGAATATGCCTTAAATCATATTAGGGATCCTACTACAATTTGAGGTATATTCCTTAATTAAGGGCTATTGGAGTCTCTGGGTGCTCGGGCTTACTCATTCTCACTCAACACCAACTCGTATCTTGCGGCTCTCAGATCGCTGGCTTTCAAGCATGCACACAGCTTCGAACTGTCAGCTTCGAGACTCCAATATTCCTTAATTCAGGAATATACCTTGGGGTTTAGGGTTTAGGTTTTTTTTTAAGTGCATGGTTTAGGGTTTAGGGTTTTGTTTTAAGTGCATGGTTTAGGGTTTAGGGCCTAAACCCTAAACCATGGGTTTAGAGATGCACGCCTTGGTCAGGCCGATCCGCACGTCGTCACAGGAGACACCGCCTGAAGCTGCCACCTGGCACTTGACTCGCAAGGAAGGGTTTAGGGATGTTTAGGGTTTAGGGTTTAGGTCTACATACATGCCTACAGGATACCCACATGTGCCCATTCACTGATCCATTAACTCAAAAAGCCTGCGTTGCAAAGTTAGTCCGAACGCACAACAATCGCGTATCATGCATATCAAAGACTCAACCTTCAGGCAAAAACAGGCTCTTTATAGCACCCTGCTCACCGTCTCAGTGGCGGTTGATTCCAGCACGACCCAAGAATGATTTGGAGAAAGGTATCCTCCGGCTCAGAAGCATCCTATGCTCCGGTCTGATCTCTTCCATCAAGAACTCTGCTACTGGTGTGGTGATCCCGATCTTTACCAGCCGGTCCAACAAGTTTCTGATCACAGGTGCGTCAGGAGGCAGCTTGTCCGCAGCACAGAGCAGCACGCTGGCCAGAAATGCAACCTTATTTGCCCCTGCCCGGTCAAGAGCCGGCTCGATGTCAGAGTGATATGAATCATTCTCACAATCTGTGTCTTCAACGAGCCGTTGCAAGTATGCTTGTGCCAGGCTCAATGTTAATGCTTTTGGCTCGAAAGGCAGAGTCGAGTCTACCATGAAGTAGTAGCATCCTGCGTGGCACGCCCGCTCCAAAAAGCAAGATGTATGCTCAGCTCGTATGCCACATTGATGGAACACTCCTTCGGATTCTTGCACTAACTCCATGTCGTTCCGCTCTGCTGCTTCAACCAGGCTCGATGCCATTTCTGGAGCCAATCCTGTGACAGTGCCGGAGTGAAAGCGAAGCCCACTTGTCAACACTCGAAGCTGTGCTCTGGTTCCCGTGATGCTCCCGGAACGGAGGATAGAGTCAGCATCAGCCGGCTTGATCCCAAATGCTGAGAGCTTAGATCCAATCAGCTTGACAATCGCAGATTCCTTCTCCTGCTTGGCGAAGAACAACAGATGCCGACACAGGACCTCAAGCACAGAAGGCGAAGCCACGAATGGCAGATCCAAAAAAAGCAGCAAGATAAGCTGGGCAGATAACTTGAGCTTGCCGGCTTCTTCCAGGATGCCGGTTGTCCAAGTCGTTTCCACGTTGGCTCGCACGAGTCGTCTAACGATGCTCTGCACGACCTTCACGGAATGTGCATCCGCGGCTGAAAGCAAGGGATCTCGCAAAGCCTCCACCAAATCAGGTCCGTGGAATGGCAGGTCGGACAACAGCACTGTGAGCTTCGCATTATTGTCAAGTTGGAGAGCTTGCTTGAAAATTGCCTTCGTCTGCTCGTGTGCCACTCCAGCTTTCAATAGTTTCGAGCTGCTACTCCTGGCGAGAAAGTGATCGCCCGCCTGTGCAGCCGACAGCAAGGGCTCGGTCAATGCGTCGACCAAGAATGGCAGATCAGAAAGCAGCACCCGAAGCTTCAAGAATATGTCAAGTCGGAGAGCTGTGTCCAAAACACTGCCCAAGACACCCGAGCCAGCTCCGGCTTGCAAAAGACGCCCAACGATTTGGTCAATTCGCTTCATTCGCTCGCCTGCTTTCTCGGGCAACGTGCGGAACATCCCCTCAGCCACGATCGAGGGGTCCATCGGTAGGTCCAGCAACCACAAGCGCGCCCACTGGTTAATCGTCAGATCTCCACCCTTTCTGCTCGCCTGCTCCAAGAAATTTCTAAGCTCCCGTACTGCAGAGAACAACCTTTCCGACATCCCCGAGCTCATGATAGATCGAAGTAGGTTGGAATCCTGGACCTTCCCTGCGATTGCGAGACAACTTCCTATGGTCTCGTCAGGAATGATGCCCGTCGCAGGAGACTCCAGCGCACGTTCCACGAGGCCTTGTGCGAGGCTTCTCCACTCCGGGGAGTAGCCTTCGCCGTCGATGACCTGTGCAAGCTCCCTCAGAACGACCTGACGGCCCAGAAGGCCGAGGCGCTCAAAAGCCGACGAAACTTGATCCGCGACCTTCCGCATCACTCTCTCGCCTGATGCTTGCCGTGGCAAGACTTCGTCTAGCTCGTCTTGGACGGCCTGTGTCCACAGCTTCGAAAGGTTTTCTAGAGCCCATTCGAAATGCTGGTCCTGGCTGCTCGTCAAAGTTTTGTTGCTATTCTGGCTTCGTTGTCCCCAGCTCGTGACGATGCTCCCATCAGATACAGATACCTTGGCAAAGAGCTGACCCATGGCAACGATTTTGGAGGCTTTGTCGCCGTCGCCATTCTCCTTTTGGAACAAGCCAACCAGAGCGCATTTTTGCGCGACGACATCGGGAATGTAAGTGGCCGCGCAGTTCTTCAGTCTTTCGGCAGCTTCGCGAACCTGCTCCTCGCTTGACAGCACGCGAAACTCCAAGGCTTCTCCCGGAACCGGCAGCGGCGGTATCATCTGCAGGTGCTCGAAGGGCTTGTCCCGTTTCGCCCTCTCTGCAGCCAACCTGACAGTTGTGGTACTGCGAATATGGAAGCAACATTTTCCTGGAAAACTCCACTGAGGGCCTGGAACCCTGTCTGGACAAGTGTTCGGACGACCGAGGTTATGGTCTTTGTCTGATGCTTTCCCTAAACCCTAAAGCCCTAAACCCCTAAACCCAAAGCCCTAAACCCTAAACCCTAAATTCCCGGGCCTCTTCTTTCGCCCCTGCTCGAGGCGCTCAAGCAAGGACTTCGGCTTCTTTGGCAGTTCCGTCGCCTGGACAAGGTTCGCTCTTGGGGCGAGGGATTTCAGCTTGAAAAGCCAAGGAGGCTCCCTATCAGACGACTTGCTATCGAAACTACAGACAAACAGTGCTTGCCTCCTCGACTTCGTCCAGCCGCCGAGCATTCTCAGCCTTCGCCCAGAAGGCATGATTCCCCAGCACGTAGGACACGAGCTGCCTGGGCGTCGCGGGTCAAGCTATTCGTCGCAGTGCCGGGTCTCAGGCTCTTGATTTGACACTTTCCGCAGGGGTGGAAAAAGGGAGATCCAACAACAAAGGCTGACTCTTGGACATCGAAAGGCTCCGGACCCGTGAGGAGCACTCCACGGATGCAGTCTGCAGCGTCCTTTGCCTCCGTCTCGAGCTTCGCGAAATGCTTCAGCATGTAACCTTCCGTGCGGAGCTCAGCTACGGTGGGAAGCCGACGAGCATTCTGCTGCTGGCGCCAGCTGCGGTAAGCAGCCTCGGGAAAGAAACGGCCAGCACCGGGAACGAAGAACTGCCGGCGAAGCTGTCGAAGCAGCCGTTTGCCCCAAATCTGCTGCTCGGAACTTTCCTCGTGCTCCCGACTGGCTACTTCGAAGGCGGCCCACCCCCCGTAGTCATCTCCCATGGCCCTGATCTCTGAAAGGAGCGCGTCTGAGGCGCTCCCTTGATTCATGATAGACTCGTAGTCTTCCTTTTTGAAGGCCCCAGGGCCCAAGATGGCAGCCAGGTTGCGACACGCCTTCTGGAGCTTGGGCTCGGTGATGGGCGCCGATGTCATGGGCTGTCGGCTCACCTCCGGCTCCGGAGTTGCCGGCGGTGGAGCAGCGGCAGCGACTGTCGGATTCAGGTAGCCGCTGCAATGAAAGCCCTTCGCATCAATCCGCCCCTGCATATCGCCCATCTGAACATCGTAGACGTCCTCGTCATGCTGCAAGATCACACCGTCGCTGCAAGGGACGGGTCCGTAGATGCTGTGGCAAATTCGCACGGCGTCGTCCTTTATGTAGATGGTTGCCTGACAACGCAGCACTCGCTTCGCAGAGCTCATTTGGGAAGCTGGGGTGGGCACGTAAACGTGCTCTAGAATGTTGCGGTTTCCCAGCGCCTCGCCATGTTCCGGGTCAGAGGCATCGTGGTAGGTGCCCAAAGGTCTCCAGCCCTCTTGTCGAAGGTCCTCCTCGTGCCATTGCACCGTCTGCTGACCTCGCCGGTGCCACCGCCGAACCTCAGCTGTGGCCGGGGTCTCCAAAAACCAAACACTAGATCCAACACAAAGAATGCAGCATGACTCCTCCGATGTACCGAGACGCCTTTGCTCGGATCCCTCGGCTCCTGCAAAGGACCGCACAGCAGCTGATCATCCCAGCGAAGCAGGGACGGACCTCGCCATGACGACGGAAGATGCGGTGAAACTGCACGCGTGCACAGCTGGAGCATTTGTACTGAAGCTCGAGGAGGCTGAGCCCAGGGCAGTCTGCGTGGAAGAACGCACGGTCCAGAGTGCGACGCTCCCGGCATCAAAGCGTTTGGCAACATCTCCGCGAGCTAACGGCTCTGGCGTGGTGCTCGGAGATGCCGCGATGCCGAACATGGCTTCCCTCTCTGTCTCTCTCTCTCTCTCTCTCTCTCTCTCTCTCTCTCTCCCTCGGAGGAGCTTTGTCACAGAGAGTCGGAAGGCAAGGGGTCCTCTTGGCCTAACGACACTTCGAGCCAAGCTCCTGGCAAATGTCTCAAAGAAGATGCCAGCACAGACCCTACTCTGATCAGCGCAAGGCGACGGTGAGCCCTGACAACTTAAGGCTTCGTCCCGGATCAGAGCCAACAGTTCATGTGGAAATCATTGCCTTCAGTATGTCGGACAGCTTTGGGCACTCAATTGCACGTCACGGATCCGTGCACTATGCATAAATATACACAAAGAACTATCAAGACATCACTATTCTCGCCGTCATGCCTCGCTGATGGCAGCGCAGGCAGAGGCATCCTGACCAGCGCGAAATCACCGAGTGACGCAGTACTTGAGACTCCACGCCCGAGGTGTCGACCATGGTGTGGCGAGCTCTCCGACGAGCCTGCGGGCAACCCCGAACCATAAACCCTATACCCTAAGTCCATGACGGCAGAAACTCAGAAGCACCCCACCTCCGGAGCAGCTAACAATATGGCATACCTGAAGCCACGATGCAGTGGGGTCAGGACATGGGGTTTAGCATTTTAGGATGGTTTAGGCTACGAGAGCACATGGCTGTGATGTTGCCTGGCCTTGAAGCGAAGTGCGAGAGCGACCTCCGATGTGCATAGCCTTGTCTTCGGATCCGCGTCGCCTGACCACTGAAACTCAGAACAGAACAGAGCAAGGCGAGCATGGGGAAAGCCGATGCATTGCCACGCTTCGCTTCACGGTTGCCATAAGGATTACCATAAGGGTTGCTGCAACGGGTACTAGGAAGTACTGCAATCTACAGGAGTTACGGAAAAAAGGCTAGTATTCCGACCCAAGCCTCCAGCAAGCCACTGTAGCGACACTGCCGCAGCATGGACTGGTCGTCGAAGACCAGGGGTTTCTCGCAAAGGCATGGCTATAGCGAATGAATAGAATGGCCATCATACGGTTGATGATATAAATCCTGCATTACCTTAAGGACCCAAGACTATGGGAATTATGGTATATTCCTTATTATGGGTCATGCAGGATTTATACCATCAACCGTACTTAAAGGTTCCTGGGTAGTTACAAATGGGGCTATAAGTCCTCTGATCCGGGCTTAGAGGTTCATGGGTAGTTACAAGTGGAGTTATAAGTAGGGTAACCATAACTATAGCCCATATTAGAGGACTTAGAACTCCATTTGTAACAACCCAGGAACCTCCAAGTAGGTGGGGGAACAGAGGGCGCTTTGTCCGCGAGCACCGGCCTGTTCATCGTTTGGCCGAAGGCAGCGGATGTGTCGGCCTTGCTACCAGGGGAGGAATAAGACGAATATAGGGGCCTTAATAACTACCTATACTATGTTGGGGGCTCCTTACCATAATTTTGTTTTCATGGGCCCAAACCCTATTCTAATTACTAAGGCCCCTATATTATCCCGTTCTCTCTTGGATCCTCGGGCCCAGGCAGTCTCGTGCTTCAAGTGTATTGCAAAGCTCATTTAGCTCCTGGCACAAACCGACGAATCGTGATGGACACAGGCTCAGCTTGATGCAGGAGAGAGTCTTGCATGAGGCTTAAAGAGTAAGTCAGCTTCATCCGCGTAGCACAAGGCTTCGCAGAGTCCCGAAAGATGGGATCAAGGGGATGCGGTACTAATCAATACCTGGAAAACAATGCCGAGTTGGGTTAGGCCTGCTGAAAGATGTTGATGAGCGTGCGCCCGAACAGCTTTCGTCCGCGCCTGACAGGTGCCAAATCAATCGACTTCCACAGGTTGAACCACCTTCCGAAGCGAAGACTAGGCCGTCTTGGATGAGATGAGTTCATGAAAAGCCGACTACAAATGCACGATCCATGGAAATCGTCAAGGATTGCGCCTTTCTCCCAGATGCTTCGACTCATCCGTGGTGATCATCTGGCAAGGTCAGAAGGTAACTCAGCCCAGCCTACCCAGATCTTCCAAGATCCCTTCATTAGGGAAAGTACCTCAGATCGTTCTAGGACCCCTTGTCTGATTTCAGGAGCATTCCCGAAATTCAGGAATACAGTTGGAAGATCTGGGTACCGGCCAGCTTCCATGAAGCTTGCAGCACTTGGCGCCTGGCCTGTCGAACGAAGCTGCCTCCATGCTCCCTGCAAGTCATTAGTGCCCCAGTAGCTAAAACAAAAGCTTTCTTAGTTTAGTACTTATAGCAATCTTGGTAGTCATAACAACCGTGATACTAATAGAATCAGTAACAGTTTTTCATAGGAATACCAAAATCAAAATCATGGAACCAATCATAGTCATAGCAACCGTAATCAATATCAGCTGTAACAATAACAATAATAGCAGAAATAATACAGAAGTACGATAGTACAAATAATAAGACTCACAACAACAAAAACAATAAGAATAATCACAGTAATAACGCTGGTAACAAAAATTATTAACAATAGCAATGATAGCAATAATAGCAATACTAGTAATAATAGTAATAGTAGCAGTGATACTCATAGCAGTAATAATAGCAGCAGGAGTCCAAGCTCAGAGCCTCAGGAAGGTACAGATGTCCGGACGGTGGGCGCTGGCATTCTTGCGAACAAACTGCGCTGCCTGCACCGGGGCAGGAGGATCCTGTACACCATGCTTTTGGTTACTAGGGAACGGAGGAATGGGGTACATGTATAAATACTGTTACTACCATTCTTCCATTCCCTCTTTATACCATCTCAAAAGAGTAGGAAGTGAGCGCAGATGGGCTCGGCCTCGTAGAAAACTTCTCCCGCGAAGTGCTTCACACCGAAGAGGTGGCTGGAGAGCAGTGGCAAAGTGACACTCAGAAATCGCAAGGCTAGCTTGATGCTTCCATGCTCTGACTAGAGTCATGACTCCTACTGTGCTTGGTATCCTATCTCGGTATATATGCGAAAGCTGCGCTGATGACCAGACTCGTCCTCCTCCTACAACTACAACAACTACTACTACTGCTCCTGCTCCGACTTCGCCAACACGGCGTATCAGACCTACTTATGCTTGCCTTCTTATGTCCTGGAACCCTAAACCCCTGAAGCCCCAAACCGTAGAGCACTAGCTGAGAACGGAGGGAGTCTAGCTAACTGAGTTGACTCCACTACAATACCTCGAAGCACTCAAAAAACCTTTACTATTTTGGGGGTTCCCTATTATGATTATAGTATAATGGGCCCCCAAACCCTATTCTAATTATTAAGGCCCCTCTAACATCGGACCGCCTTCCGTCACGGCCGCTGGCACGGCCTCGGGTATTTCAGGGACTCGAGGGGCGCGGGGACTTAAAAACTCTTCACGACACTCATTATATTTTTAGTACCCTTATTGTATCCCTTATAGTAGCCCCTATAGACCCCTTTAAACGCAACCCATGCAATAATATAGTACCCTTATAGTCTCGCTTTTTGTAGCCCCTATAGACCCCTTTTAAAGAAGCAGCCCATGCAGAGCGAGACGGCTCATATCTCGGACGGTTAATTAGAACCGCTGAGGGCTCGAAGCTCGACATGGGTGCCTTGGCAGGGGCTACTGGCAAGCTCGGGGTCAAGGACCTAACATTTAGGGATATTTTATATTGGGTTTTATGTGTATATATATATAGAGAGAGAGAGAGAGAGAAACAGAGAGATAGAGAGAGAGAGAGAGAGACATATTATGTATCACACATAAATACTTCCGAGGGACGGAAGGCGGGGTGGCTTCCGCAAGCTGCTGTCAGCGTCTCGGCGAGGCTCCCACCAGACCCCGCACCTGGCATGCAGTCGGAGTGGAGTCGGATATGACTGTTGCTGTTATTGTTACTACTAGTAATGTTGTTATTCATACTATTGCTTATGTTTAATACAAGTACTACTATTCTCTGTGTTACTGTTCCTATTACTACTAATCATGTTGTTATTAATACTATTGCTATTATTGGTATTGCTGCTCTCAGTATTTCAATGCTACTCAGGGGCCCATCACGCACTTGGCAAGTCTCGTTTTTCGAGCTGTGCCGCGCTACGTCTCCGAAACTGCCGAGATCAAGGTCACCACCTCGGCTGGAGGACCGCGTGACGGCACCTTTGAAGTCACAGCTCCCGGCCGGAATCCATCTCAGTCTGGAGCTGGGCCACTTTGTTCACGAAAAACACGGCCACGAACACCTGAAGCTGTTCTCCAAAGGGGTCTTCATACCTAACTGGGCCTTTTGGATTCCGCCATGCGCGTTTTCTAAGATACGATCCCGGTGGAAGGCCGTAAGGCCGTCACACTACAGGAGCACAGCACACTGTGCTAAGATACCGACGAGGGTGAGCTGAAAACAGAAGTAGGACATCACCGCAATCTGGAAGAACCTGCAGGCGACCAACGCATCACATGTTTGTAATACAGGGGCCTTGGTGGGTAGAATAGGGCGTTGGGGGTATATTATGCTATAAATGTAATAAGGAACCCTCCGAAGTAGTATAGGTAGTTCGTAAGGCCCCTATAGTAGGGCAACTGGATGCCCCTCCCAACCCGCCTGTGTCCGCCCTTCTTGTAGGCGTCAACCTCCTGCCAAGAATTCGCACATGCTCTAAAGCCCGTGCATGCTCTGAAACCCAAACCCTAAAATGTAAACCCAAATAAACCGTAAACCCGGACCCCCTAAGGCGCAGAACCTAAAGCAAACCCGGAAACCCTAAATCGTTCCGTGGCCCGTGCACCAATGCAGG